TTTTTTTTACCAATTTCTAGTGCTCTACTACTGCTACTGCCTGGCGACTGCCACCGACCGGCGACTGCCACTGCCCGGCGACTGCCACTGCGAATTGACTGCGATTGCGACTGCGACCTTTCCGACCGACTGACTAGGGGTCACGTTGCCGAGGTCCAAAGAAGGTTAGATTCATTTGGTTGGCCAATCAATGGCCGTGCCAAGGTCCAAAGAGGGTTTAGCGTAAAGGCTTCAGCCAATCATGCTGTAGAACAGTTAAGCTGCTAGAACCAATCAGAGGACGGGAAATTGACAGGGCTTAAGTCCTGGGACGGGACGGGATTTTGGAGGGTTAACCTAGTTTTCTTACGAAAACCATCTTGGTGCAAACGCCACAGCTGAGGTGCAGAGGGGGACACGTCACGTGCTGCTAGCGCCACAGCTTCTACAGCTACAGTGGTCAACGCCGTGAATGCAGCTCCTTGGCAAATAGCTCACCATAGCGGAGAGCGGAACCATCCCGAGCGGCTTGGTCTCCAGCAAAGCAACACAACGCTACATATAACTATCCGGAACCGAGCGATTCTCACAAACCCCGCTGCGCACCCAATCCAAGGGTTGCGACCACCAATCTGCCGTCGAGGGACAACCCCTCGGCCTCTATAGCTCGACACCCTTTGCCCTACATTCTTCCGATCGATAACCATTGAGCCATCAATGGTCGCAGCCATGTCTGCATTCAGACAGAGATTTGCTCAAGTTGCCCGGCAGGCCCGGCCGCTCCGGCCAAACGGCGCCCGGAACACGAGATCGTACGCTTCGAGCCATGGCGAGCACCACGAGCACCACGCCCACAATGTTGAGGAGTCGCTCGGAGTAGGTCTTCTACCGCTTTCTGGCAGCGGTTGGCCAGAGCGCGTCGAGTCTCGATGGCGACGGAATGAGGCATTAACAAAGCGAAACAGATACCCGTCTACCTTACGCTCGGCGTGATCCCTGCCTCCATCTTCGTTTACTGGATTTCGCGGCCCGGCCAGGATGGCGAGCTCTCGACCATGCACAAATGGTTCCAAAAGATCTCCAAAGAGTATGGGAGGGACTGGGAACAATCAAACCATCTCATGACTGCCGCAATCGAGCAAGCGGCGCACGACAGGCACCTTCTTTATGGTGCCCCACGAGGCAGGCATTTTGAACTGACCTATCCCGAGTATGTGATTCCATCCTGCTATATCTCTGACTTCGATGGAGTGGGAAAGCCAGACCCAGTCAAGGGGAAGCAGTGTCTCTTGGGTTTAGGCAATTGAGTACCCGCTTGCCTCCATTGTGCGAGGTCATCCACAGAGCGTGGCCCTTTTGGGCTCTCATGCCTGGGCAGTTGCCGTCGAGACTATTGTCTCTAAGAGCCGAATTTCTCTCGGCGCGCTTTCCCGGACCTCTAAGAGAGTGTCTGTATGCGTAGCATTCCCAGACTGGCAACCTTTCTTCCTGGCGTCATGGCTTTCGCCCTCAGACAAAGCTCGATTGCTGAGTGGACGCTGACCACGTGACGCAGGGCCTTCGGACATGGATCTCAGATGAACGTTCCGGCCGGGCACTACATTAACTTGGACAAGGTCATTGCCCACTACCAGAAGCAGCATCTCGACGACGAGGCACGGAAGGCAAAGAAGCTGGCCGCGGCTTCTCAACAGTGAGCTTTGGGAACTAAGGTGGTTTTTTTGCGCAAAACAATACCCACTTGTCGGTGGCTCCTGTACCCCTTGCTGTACATACGATTAGACCGCGAGGCAATCGTCACCCGCAACCTCACCATCCTTCACTTGCACCTTTTATATCTATAAATTTGTGACCCCTCTGTTGTCGCCGAGCGAGTTAGCCTAGATTTGAGAGGCCTGGCTCTTTTCTCCCCCTTTGCATCGTGAGTAGAGTCGATGCTCGGATCAGGCTCGACCCAATTGCCGCCCAACATCCGGAGGCTCAGCTGACACCCTCGTGATGCCGGGGGCTCCGGGGACGGTTGCGGGTGAAGTTTTTGATGCTTCGAAACAGGCAAAGGCAGGTGATCCACGGGGCTCTTTATTTCTCCCCAGGCCATTGGCCCTCTTAAACAAAGCCTTGTCCCGTTAACCGACCACACTTGTGTACAGCCTCCATCCCAGTTCCTCAGCAGCGCTCCCCAAGATGCTCCCGCCGTGCGAGTCGGCTTTGTCAGCCCTGCCATCGGCTACGGCCTCTTCGCCGCGCGGGACTTTGCCAAGGACGAGTTCATCTTCCACGAGGCGCCCATGATGACGGCCCTCTTCAACGAGAAGTTCTCGGCCGACAAGAACCTGATGCAGAGCCAGGTGCGTTCGTACCGCGCTGTCCTCGCCGGTCCCAGCCGGGACGTGGCGACGGTCGCCTTCCCGGCCCTCGCCGCACGCACCGGCATCGCCCCGGCGCCGTTCGAGGAGGCCGCCGACATCCTGGCCTCCCCCGCTGAGATGGGCCGGTACCTGGTCCACGGGCGCTTCGCCGGCTCGACCGTCACGCGCGAGGAGTACCTGTCGTATACGAGTCGTCTGCCCGTCGCGGCGGCGCCGTCCGAGAAAGACGTCCGCGAGGCTTGTCTGGAGTTTTTCAAGCAGTATGCCTTTGATGTCCGCCGGGCCGCTCGTGCAGGCGTTGGCACCGCTGCCGCTGCCGCCGCCGCCGCCGTTCCGGGAGCGGGGGCGGGAGCCGCCACGCACAGAGCCTGCATCTACCTCCTCGGTTCGCTCATCAACCACTGCTGCACTCCCCAATCCACTGGCGCCAGCACCGCCTCCATATCATGTTCGGGCCTGATCAAATCCACTTCCACCAGTTCTGCCAAAAGCAGCAGCAGCAGAAGCAGCAGCAGCAGTAAAGGGCCCAACTGCTCGTGGCGCATCGGCCCTTCAGGGCTGGCGCATTTTGTCAAGCCGCGCCATATCTGCGTGCAGGCGCGGCGGGCGATACGCGAAGGGGAGCAGCTGACGTGGGACTATGGCAAGAGGGAGAAGGGGTTTGAGTGCGAGTGTGATACGTGCCGCAGTTCGGGCTGGTTTGGCCCCGGGTTGGGCAATCTGGGCTACCTCTGCACCGTGCTGTGACGGGGCAATCGTTAGGTGACAGTCATAAATCATGGGCTGAGAGCGCTGTTTTCAATTACGGAGTACTGGGTATGGAATAAAAGAACATTGTTGGAATTGTTGGTATTTTTCATGCCGGTCTCACAGAGTCAATGCGTCATTCATTTGTTTGCTTGGCCCTGGAATGCAGCACTCGAATTGCTCCTTTGCACTATCTCGTTCATCCCTCTAGGATAGATAGCGTAGGCATTGCGACATGAATCAAATGCCCCATGAGCTGAACCGTGTCCCGTTTCGCCGAATCCATGACTGAATGCAAGAACCACCCATATCCCACAGCCCTTACTTCAGAGGAATGAAACGAGAAGAGTGCGTGGCACCGATACCTGGTCTACCGTGCTTGACAGGCTTGCTGTGAGGGTTGTCAGCAATCCGCTAGCTACCGTTACACTTGTCCCACTGGAGAAAAGGGCAACGTACTATGAGATCGAGAACTCGCCGAGGTAGTGGCCAACCATCTCAGGCTTGATCTCTACCTGGTTGAACTCCTTGCCGGAGTAAATGCCGATGACGCTGCCAATCATCTCCGGGACGACGATCATGTCGCGCAGGTGCGTCTTGACGAGGTCGGGCTTCTCGTTGGGCTTGGCCTCCTGCTTGGCCTTGCGCAGCTTCTTGATCAGGCCCATGGGGCGGCGCTTCAGGCCCCGGTTGATCTTTCTACGCGCGCGGGCGTGGACGACATCGCGGAGCTCATCGGAGCCGAGGTCGAGGAGACTGTGTGCAGGCAGTCCGAGTCAGCGGCTTTTGTCCTTTGCTCTTCATGTGAATGAAATTCCTGATCCGATCCAAAACCGTCCCGAGCGACCCCTTCCCCCATTTTCCCCAAACTTTTCCTCCTATCGATGGCGATGCCAGGTGCCGGAAGCATTGGTCGTTCAGGTCGATTGCTGCTTGTGTGATTTGGGAAAGCGGAAGAGGGTAACCTACGCATCAAGGTCGATGCCCCTGTACGAGAACTTGCGGAAGGCTCTCTTCTTCTTCAGCTCGGCAGCCTCCTCGGCATTCTGTTACTTTGGTGATTAGCCAGATTGTTCCTCCAATGCTGAGAACGTAGGTGCGTTTTTGGGAAGCGGCATTCGGCGACACAATCCGGGCGATTGAAGAGGGCAGAATCGACGCAGGGACAGAGACATACGTATTCGTCAGCCATCTTTACGGTTGTGTCGAGGATCACGATTTCGCTCTATTCGATAGTGCTGCGTATCGAAGAGCGAAATTCTGATTGTCGCGATGATGGAGGTGGATTTGACTGCGGGCGGTTTCACAGACTGCGCACTAGATGGTTGGGTCGCTGCCGGCCTCGAGCCCCACTGGCAAATTTCGTAGGGTTCTGTGCCCTCCCACACTCCGCCTCAGGGCGACTTTTTGGGGTTGTGGCTGATGTGGCTGACCAGATTAGTCATCTCACCTACGACTAGCCAAGCGCAGGCTGTGCAACCTCCAACAACCCTCACCATTCGATCAGGTAAACCTCGTCAGGTTCTTCGAGGAATGCTGTGCTGGCGAACTGCCAGTTCCATCAACCCTTTTATCTCAAAACAGATTGTTTAAGAACCACCAAAGTTCAGATTGGATTTATAATTTACGAAGAGCTGCGAGTATATTGATCACACCGCTTTCCCACTACGCCGACCTGTGGTTCTACGGTCTACTTTCCGTCATTATATTTGAGGCATATCATGCTGCTGCGGACGTCGGATATTCTCAATCATTCAACATTACACTGGTTCTAAATGTTCTTGAATACCGACAAGCTCGACAGGGCCTGGCCCGACTGAGAGAACATGGTGTTGTCGTAGCACGACGAGCCCAAACCCGCGTTGTGAATCCAAGCCGGCTCCCAGTAAAACAAGCCTACTCCGCGATTCACCGAGGCGACCACGTTGGCCACGTTTGTGACGTACGTCACCTGCCCTGCAACTGAGAAAGGTATGTTCCGAACGTCCGAGGGAAAGGTGTATCGTGGGTTGGGGCAAGATGTTGGCCAGTTTGTCTCGACGACGGCCACTTCCTTGCCCCATGTGTTGACCATGTTGTTCAAGCTGGTTTTCAGCGACGCTAGGGTGGCCGATTCCGAATAGAATGGGTAGAACGAAACGCCCATCATGTCAAAGTCTGACAGTTCAAATGTCCCCTGCTTCAGGACATTTGTGTACCAGTTGTTCTGGGTTCCCCAATTCCTGCATCTTCTGTCAGTGCGCCGCGCCATCACTGAGTCCCAAGGGGCTGCTTCTTACCATCCATTGTCGAGATGGATCATGATCTTGGGCTTCGGGCTGAGCCTCGAGTCTTTGATCCCCCAGGCAGCAGAGCGTAGCAACCGCGCAATGTTGCCCCAGTTGTTGGTCCGACCCGTCGGCCACAGCAAGCCGGGGGTTATTTCGTTTCCGATGGACATTATCGTCGGCTGAACGCCGGCATCCTGAAACCGATTTGCGGCGTCTAGGGTGTAGTTGTACAGCTTCCACGACAGGTTGTCGATATCAGTCGGCCATCCTGACGGAATGGTTTGATGGGCAGGGTCCGCCCAAGTATCACTGTAGTGGAAGTCGATGTACACGCCCAGGCCGACAGCCTTTGCTCTTCTCGCAAGCGCGATGTTGTAGTCTAGGTTGTAGTTGCCGTCCCTTGGATTGACCCAGACGCGCTGCCGTACCGTGTTGACGCCGTTTTCGACAAGGATCTTCTCCAATGGCTGGGCATTTCCGTTCACATTCTTGTACGAGACACCAGCCCTCTCCTCAACCGTCACCGAAGACCAGTCCACACCTTTGTAGGTGAGGGCGGCGTTGGCGGTTGAATAGCCGAGCAGAATAGCCGGCAGGATTGACAGCATCATCTTGGCAACCCCGAGCGTATTGACACAGAAGATTGACTGGCAGTTGTCGGTGCTCAAGGCTGACGAACGCGCTTAGTATTTATCAAGGACAGCCCGAGGTATGTTTTGAGAGACCAGCTGGAGGAAATTAAGGCGCAATCCTGGAACAACCCCAGTGGAACCTGTGAGATATGGAGAATCGGCTCGCATCCCGTTTGGAGGAGTGTGTCCAAATTCCAGAAAGATGGTCCGAGGTGTGCTTGTTTGAACCACATCTATTGCTACGCCAATCTGTCTATATACAACCCTGTCAATGCCTGTCAAGACGATGAACTCGAGAGTGGCACGCTTACATACAGTCAGGCCCGAATATGCCACCAATCACACGGCAGTTCGGCCCATCATATTCCGGGATAACATCAGGCAAGATGTTGCCGTCTCAACCCGGCAGACTTGACAACACACGGTCCGGGCAGCATCACCCAACTCTTTTCTAGGCCTCTTCTTCCGCCACCCTCCATACAAGCTTCTCTCCCGACGGAGCTTGGTTCCTGAGGAGGCTGAGAGCAGCCTCTGCCCGCTCAAGGAGGGTCTTGCCTTCAACAATCTTTAGGGGATTCGGCTTAACCACTCCTTGCTCCAACAGGGCAGGCACAATCTCTGGCTGGAGGTGGTCCTTGAAGAATTTGTTCTTAAGACGCATATTAGTGGGCTGCTGCTATCCAGGACTTATCCAGGAAATATGCCAGACAAAACGTACCTCAGCATAGAAATGCGTCCTCGTTCCGATCAACTCAACCCCTTCCTTCCAATGTCCGACCAGAACCTTTGAAATGTCCATCTCATACTCGGGCGCCCGGTCCTCGGCGGCATGGACATTGATCACAGGAAGCATGACCGCAACCTTGGCCCCCGACTCCGCGATCTGGGTCAGGGGGCGCAGCGTGCCATCCCTCGAGCCGATGCAGTCGACAATAAACGGCACTTTTGGCGTGCCGGCCACCCCGTCGAGATACCTCTTGATCTTCCCCACCACCACGTCCTCTCCCTCCCTATAATCAAAGCACTCCTTGGCCCCCAAGCCCTTGAGCGTAGCGTGATGCCGTCCGCTCGCGACGGCGAGCACATGGGCGTACCCCCAGTGCTTTAGCACCTGCACAAGGTACAGGCCGACGCTGCTGGCGGCGCCCCAGACGAGGATGGGCGCGGTCCTGAACGCGGCAGGCGGCTGCCACCCATCGGGAACCGGCCACGGCATCGCCAGGCCCAGGTCGTGCGTGGCCGTGTGCATGGCCGTGACGAGGTTCGTCGGGACCGACACAGCCTCCTGCGGGGTCAGATTGGGCGGCAGCTTGCTAACCCTCCACAGCGGGACCGTTATGTACGGCTGGAAGGTCGATTCCGCTTCCACCCCGTCCATTGTCATGCCGAAGACGACGTCGCCTACTTGGACATGAGCCTGTTTGTTTTGAGGGGTGCTGTTGCTGTCGTTCGGGTCTGAGTTTGACCCGACGGCGAGGACGGTGCCGGCGAAACTGCCGCCCATCAAAAAGGGATACTTGTTGATTAGCAGGCCGCCATCGGCGCGGTGCAGGTCCAGAGGGGTCGAAGAGGTCCACGTTACGTGGATGAGGGCTTCCGAGGGCTTAGGGGGGACGGTGGGCTGGTCGATGATGCCGAGGGGCTTGCGGGGACCCTCGATCATGGCTACGGCCGGGTGCGTTGGGGGGACGGAAGGGGGAAGGGAGGAGGCCATGGTGTTGTTTGTTTGTCAAGGTTTGGTTTGGGACGGGAGAAAGGGGGGGTCAAGGGGTTGGGTGAGACTGTGGTATGTTTGGCTTTTAGGTGAGTCGCTCTCGGTACAGGCGAATGGAACGAGCGGATAGTAGTTAAGGTGTGAACCGTCTCAAAGTTCATTACGACTACCATCAACTGAGAGCCAGGGTATATATATCTTCTCCTCTGAGGTCTCAATCCTACCTGGGGGAGTGATGCCCAATAGAGTCCTCAGCCAGCATTTCCGATACTTGTCGGTGATAGATGAGCTCAAATTTGTAAGCAGAAGGATCGCTGATGTGTAGCAGCTTGCATATGAGGCCAATTAGTCTGTGTTGGAGCTCGAGAATGTTCTTGGGTTCGCTCCGCCGTTGATGCACTCTGTCTCGTTCGTCACAACACATATCGATGATCATCTTGAGCAATCACAAGCCGCTATTTCCTCGGTAGGAGGATCTCGATCCCAAGCCTGTTCGAATACGGCTCACTCATCATTAAAAGGCTGCTGTACAGTACATACAAGAACTGTGTAGAAGTGGCTGGCCGAGTCGTCACATAGTACGGAGGTACATGGTGAGTGCGTTCCGAGAACAACGTGATCATGGCTCTCTCTTGCAAGACACGAGGCGAGTGGCATTAATAATCAAGGGGAAGATCGCGCGCGAATCGCGACTGCATTGCCGGGCCCACTCCGACATCCTACGGAGAGCTACCTTACATTACGTAACAAACGCTACTCCTGAATTGTGACCCCGTTCTAACTGTTTTTGGTGTCGCAATCCTTTGATCCTGGAAAGCCACCTGCATGCATCTCGATCGCGACGTTGGTCGTGCGACAAAACACCCAATTGCATTGGCATCAATGCGCCACACACCACTGTATGCCGAGACAGCCAAACGACGTATAGCTTCGCAGCGCTTGACACCTAGTATCTAGTTAGCCCGAGAATGTGGTGCTCCTCATTGTAAACATCATACATATCAGCCCAAACGCTACTGCCCGTCATGCCCTCCCCGAGGCGTCTCCGCGTGTTCCTGTACCTCACCCTGGCTGGCGTTATCACATTACTTTTTCTCACATCGCGGGCCCGCCATGAGCGTGAGTCAGATTTCTACCAAAAGACCGTGAATGCCCTGGATAAGGGGCGCGGCACCGGCTCTGGCGGCGCGGAAGCAGGTCAGAAAATCATGGCAGGACTCGGACACGATCACGACGCGGACGCAGATGGCGACATTGACGAGGACGACGTCATTGTTGCCCAGGAGATGGCGAGACGACTCCGCGAAGCCCAGCAGCAAGCCAAGGACAGCGCGAACGCCAAGGCGCCCAACAAGCCGGACAATCCCCAGGACGTGATAGGCGTGGGAAGCTCGGCGAGTGGGCAGGAGAAGGGCGCTTTGGGCGAGAAAGAGAAGGAGAAGTTGCGCGAGACGGAAGGCGACCCCGAGGTTGAGATGGAGCTGAACGCCATTCTGAAAAAGGCCCCAGGTTAGCATTGTTTGCAGCACTGTCCGGCGAGAACGCTCGCTAATATGCTCGTCCGCAGTGATTATCTTTTCCAAGTCATACTGCCCGCATTCGAAGCGGGCAAAGGGAATTCTGTTAGAGAAGTACATCATCGAACCCGCGCCTTACGTGGTCGAGCTCGACCAGCACCCGCTAGGGCCCAAGATACAGGAGAGATTGGGAGTCATGACTGGCAGGAGGACGGTACCAAACATCATGGTCTATGGAAAGAGCATCGGCGGCGGCGACACCATCGCTGCTCTCGACACCGAGAAGGCCCTGGCCAAGAAGATCATGTCCCTCGGCGGAGACCGAATAGAAGTGACGGAGCGCTTCGTCGGGAGTGTTCCAAAGATGGCTAAGGCAGGGTAGTGGTCTTGCCCGGCTTCTGTTTTCATTCTGAGCTGTCTGTGGTGGCTACACTTTCGCCAGAGTACGAGCCGGTGCAAGCCCCGGCCTTCGATGTTGCATCAAGTTCCAAGCGCGGCCATGGAGGATGCCTCGAGTGTACTTGGGCATCTGGCTGGAATTCACTCGGGTCCCAGCATTACCGGTCGCCATGTGGGAGGCGAGTCCAGTCAAGCGGCGACTGGACTAGTGGAACTATGCACCTCCTCTGGCTAGCCCGGCTCTTACGACATCCGCACAAATCTCAATCGTGCAGTCCGCTGCACCCCGTCGAATACAGAGTCAAGGCAGATGGTTCACTGTCGGCCGTCAGAAGCCATATATCTCGCGCTAATGGTACACCAAAATGCTGGCACAACAAGCATCGGATGGCATGGAAAAGGGGGGGACAGCAGTGAAGGTTATCGACATAGCGTCCGACATCTGTGAACGCCAGGCGTTGCTCAGATCGTTAGGATTCGGTGCCTGTGTTGCGAAGGTTTCATCTGGGCATTTTACTGTAAAGTGTCTGGATTAAGGCCTCTGGATGTGACATGGCCAAGTTGGATTATGGGAAACGCCGTTATGACCGGGGCATTCCAACGCCAGGCGAATATAGTACTACTTGTACATTGTACACAGGGCCATAGCATAGCTCTTGATATATTGTGGCTATCCTAATAGGTTATATAACGCAGACTAACAATGTTCGTCGTTGGCAGCAACGGTTAGCTTCACCGATGGTGCTCCTGGCAGTTCGAAGAGCGCATTCGTTGTGTCTACGCCAAGTTCAGTCTGCTAGCTGAGCTTCTGATTGCGAGAAAGAGATGCGTTGATGTCCGATTAAGCAGGCTTGTCTCTGCCTACAAAGTATCTTTTACTTTCCACGAAGCGGACAACGGTGACTGGCATGGCGCTTGTCAAAGCGATTGGAAACCTACCTTACGGACTTGACTTATCAACCTGTAAGGCTCCCGAGTCGGCGCTGAGGAGTGTGGAAGACGAAGAAAGGCAGTCGTGCATTGAATAAGTGCCTACCTATCATCCAGTTGCCATTGAGGAGATTCACGAACTTAAGAACTGTAGAAACCTCTTGCCATACTGTCGGGTATACCTATGGGGGAAGGAGATATTTGATGTATCATGTCTACAATATCCAGCTTGGCCACGATTTTACGAATTAACGGACCTGTGATCTGGGAACCATGGTCACAGCAACTCACAAGGAGCGCCACTCGGGTCACGGTGGTTAGAGGAGGATACGCCGAGCTGTGTATGTATGGGTCTGTCATAGAACAGAGCGCAAGGACAAAGGACAGAGGTCTCACGAAGCACCCATATCAACAATTGCAGCCGCACGGCTATATAATACGCTCAATAGCCCTGGGACCATTCCGAACACCTTTTGCCATTGCTAGCCAAGCAAACAATACATCTGCACTTGCTTCAGACGGTTGATACGGAATCAATAGGTCACTTAATAGCTGGCTACGTAAGGTATTCGTTGATGCAAATAGCATTGTAACAAAGACATTATATATGAATAGCCCCATACTCGTACAATTGAGCTATTGTTTTTCTGAACTGGAGCATCACCGTTCCGAACAAAGGATCAAACGGTGGTATATAAGATGTCCAACCCCTTTCTTTCATCGTCAGGATATTCAGTCAGAATAGGTCCACACTTACTTCCAAGTCGCTACCTACCTAGTCAACAGAGATCCGACAGATCGCTGAGACAAGCCTCTCCAAAAAGATTACACTCTAATCCAAAAGTAAAACAGATAAACCGCGAGAAATCATTCCAGATGTGTCTCATGGAGGTTTTTGAGCACCGCGTCTGTCGGCACCGCGTCAAGAGCGGAGTGGTTGACAAATGCACAAAATACTATAGTCTGGAAGCAGCGGCGAAGAGGTCGATGGACTCGGACTTCGACTTCTATAGCTGCGGGACACTGAACTATGCCATCGTCCAAAAAGATGGTTTCTGCTCTGACAACTGCCCGGCAGTATCGAAGACAGCCAAAGAGCCCGCTCGAAGGAAGAAAGAAGCTCGCGAGGATGCGAAGAAACAGGAGCGAGGTAAGGTCCTGTGGGGACGGAAGGAGGGGAGGGAGCAAGCAGAATTGCGGGATAAGGAGGGCAAGTTGAGGATTACACCACTCTGGGAGACGGCCGTGGGTGGAACAGCTGCTCGCAGAGCGCCTGATCAGCCACCGGCCACATCGACACCTCGAACAAGGCAATCGATGCCACAGAGTGCCCCCCCTCGGCTTGCAGACCGCCCTCTCCACCCCAATGCCTTGAGCAGCCCACCACCCCATTCCAATGCACTTGAGATACGAGCTGACACCAACCGGCCAGACGCATATAGACAGGGAACGCCAAGCCGACGGGGGGTGCCTGAAGCCAGGTCCCCGGCCGTGACGAGAGGCGTTGCCAGAAATCAGCCAGTTTTGGTAAGACCCCCAGCTGTTTGCCAGCCGTCACGGGCAACTTCCAGCAACGCCCTGTGTCATAATCATCAGACGTCAAGTCTTCAAGCCAGGCCACCCCAAACACAGCAGATTCGACGGAAACCTGTGCCGGGCCAGAGAGCCGGGACATACCCTCCACCACCATCTCAAGAGCATGCGACGTCAGATCTTGAAGCCAGGCCGCCACAGGCACATCAGATCCGGCGAAAACCTGTGCCGGGCCAGAGAGCCGAGACATACCCACAACCACAATCTCAAGCGCCACCGTTTTCACTAGAGGATTGTGCAGGCCCTCCGGTCCCGCCAAAAGACCCGCCGAGGCGGCCATATCCCAACGTGGCCCCTCCCCAGTCTACCGCGGCCAGTGCATCAGACAGGAGAACCCCGAGACAAGCATACGGGGAAGTTGATCCTGAGCTCGTGCCAGCGCCGCTGTTTGCTAATCGTCAGCCGGAAAGAGCAGCACGACGAGACCTGACGATACAGGGAAGCAACCCCTCGCCGGGTGTTAGAAGAGATCCGGTTGCAGTCGAAGGTTACCCGCCGAATCCCAGCATCGAGCATGGGCGTCTACCCGCACGGGCAAGTAGTCATCCACCAGCAGCGATAAGGGGTCCGGTTGCAGTCGAACGTTACCGCCCGAACCTCATGTTTGCTAACCAGAGGCGGGCAGCGGAAGAAGCGTCGAAAAATCCAGGGACTCGAAAGAGTAGGAACAGCACCCGCATCCTTTGCAACTTGTTCAAAAGGCGGAGCCCCAGCCCGGATTTTGTCAGCCGAGATGCAGCACGGGTTGAACAAGGACGGGGTTCTTCTTGGCGCAGCTAGAATAGGTACATAGCAGGTAAGCGAGGGTTTGGTCCCCGGGGGAGATGGTGCTAGCCCGCGAGGGTGGACTTCAATTTGCTCTTTCCGTTGCGTTTCCATTTGTTTGGGTCAGGACATCCAGAGTAATTATACACGATCAAATAATAGCATTGCCTTAGTATGAGTGCAAATGAGTGAAAAAGAAACAATTCAGTTCATTGTGACCGGTGGTTCCAACAAAGACTGAGTGATGGCCGTTGATAGGAGGATGAAGTCGGGTTCCCCATTCGCTCACCTCGGTGAAGACCCCTACCGCGTGTTAAGGTGTGGGTCCACTTTATTTCTCCGAGCGGATCTCACATCTTCATCCAATCCACTGAATTTTGCACGTCCAATCCCCAGCGACTCGCGGAGCCGAGACCGAACAGAGCATCGCGGCCGCCGCCGGAAGAGAACTTTCCTTTCCTTAAGCTCACTCAATTGGCCGTCAGCAAGCCCACCAGCCATGAGCAGGGCACTGCTGCGCTCCGTCCTGGAGCTGCACGCTCCCATCAGCCGACTCGTGCCCGCCAGAACGACAACGACAAATGGACCAGCAGCCGCGTCAACGGCCCGCTGCTTACTGCACCAAACGGCCCAGATTATTGAGCCGTCCCATCCCGAACCGCCCGTGATCCCGAACAATGGCCAGACGAAGCAGCCACAACATACCACTTCCGCCGTCTCCTCATCATCATCACCACACCCAAGCCAACATCAACAACAATCACCAACAGAAGAACCCTCAGCCAGCCACCCGCCAGGCCCGATAAGCGAGTCAGTCCGCGCCCTACTCCCGCTGCTGGCCGCGCAGCCGGGGCACTACATCCGGGTGCACATCCACGGGCGGGCGTATCTAGTAACCGAGGGCGATTCGGTGCGGCTGCCCTTCAAGATGCCCGGGGTGGTGCCGGGGGACGTGTTGCGGCTGAACCGGGCGAGCGCGCTGGGCAGCCGCGACTTCACGCTGCAGGGCGCGCCCTACGTGGACGAGCGCCTCTTCGAGTGCCGCGCCGTCGTCACGGGCACCGAGTCGGAGCCCATGCGCATCAAGATCAAGAAGAAGCGGCGCTGCCGCCGCACCAAGCACGTCCGCAGCAAGCACCGCTACACCATGCTCCGCATAAGCGAGCTCAAGGTCTGTCGCGACGCGGCCGAGATTGAGAGCTGAAGGGAGTTGAGGGGGATTGCTAATTTGGGGGCTTGGAGAGGGATATAGAGGGTGGGAAAGTGTGTGCTGAGTGGGCGGGAATTAGGCTTTGGGTTGGAGGAAGGGAGATACCGGTAGCCGGTCCGCATGCTCTTATGGGAGAGGTCGTCTGGCTAGGTTATTGGCCCTTTGCTCCCTCTCATTCCATGGCGATGGGCTGGCTTGATACGATCCTTCGCAGGTACGACAATGGTCTCGACTGCACCGCCCTCAGATACCATGTGGCGACCTGTGGAGGAAGACGACACGCTTTGTAAGATGAGGGATTGAAAACTGTCATATGTATCATATACGATGCACCGTACTGTACAAAAAACATGAACAGCTGGAGCTTTGCACTGGTTTCAAGATGGTATCAAACTCCTCTCCTGTCAACTCAGCAAGCCCTCTTGGGTATTATGCGGGCGGTAAATTCCAGTTTCTTATCGGATATCTAGGGCGGGCAGGGAGTACGACGGAGACATCGCATGACTTGAGCTTCGTATGCGAGCCGAATGTCTTCTACATAGCGACCAATTAATAGGGACAGGTTCTATTCAAAGAGAAAAAAAGAAAGGCGCTTGTCATTTGATTCAAACCGATACAAGTATAAGAACTGACAACCGGTACCACAAGTCTCCTTGGCCAGGGAAAAGAGACGTGGACGACACCAAACAAGCTTTCCAGTACACTCTAACATCGGGGTATCTAACAAAATTCACTAATCCCGTACTCGCCCCAGATTATCCAACGCTGGCCCAGGATCACAACCTTTTAGCAAACACAAACCAGTGCATATACATCAAGACATTGCCCATAAGCAGGCCTTAATGCATATTCTTCAAAGCGGAAAAGTACGCCTTCCCCCAGACACTTTCCACCTCCTCCATGCTGGGCATTTTCGCCTTGCACCTCCTGACAACACTCTGTATTATCTGCCCTAGCACTTCCTCCGTCACGGGCAACACAAGGCCCTGCTCAGCCCCAGCGTACACCCCGGCATCAAACTCCCGGGGATAGAGGAACGGATCCGTCTCTGCAAGCAGCTCGTCGCACGTTGGGCGCTCCTTTTGCTCGCGGTTGAGGCATCGACGCATTGTGCGGATCAGGCTGGGCGGGACGCGGACGCCGTGCTCAGTTTTCTCTGAGAAGTCGATCTCGTGCGCCCAGCTGATGATGGCCTGGCAGCGGGCCGGCTGGCTCTTGATCTTGCCAAAGGGCGGATGGCCGTAGACCATTTGGTACAGAATGCACCCCAAGCTCCACACATCGCTCGGCTTGCCAAGCTTCATAAGCCTCCCCCTGTTCTTGATGTGGTCCTGTGCTTGTGGAAGCGCTGCCGCGAGGTTTCCGTGATTCTCCGCCAACAGTGAATACATGTGTGAGTCCAGGAGTGATTCGGGAGACATGTAGTTGGGCGTGCCGATCTGATGCTCACGGTGCACGTTGACCGTCATATCAGTCTGAAGGGCGTTTGCGATGCCAAAGTCGATAAGCTTGAGACGACCCTGGACAATGACAAAATTGGCGGGCTTGAGATCGCTGTGCACAATGTCCTTCCGATGTACTGCCCGGACGCACTCGACCATCTCCTTCCACCAGTTACGGACAAAGACTGGATCCATCCGCTCACCCTCAGGCGAGCCCTGCCGACTCCTGAGAAAGGTTTGAAAGTCGAGCTCTCCGATTTCCATCACCATGCTGAGCACCTTCTTGTCGATGTTTAATTCGTAGTCGATGAGCTGGATGACTCGATCGACTCCTTGCAGTCGTTTGAGGAGGTCAATCTCCCCCTTGTAATTCTCCACCGTCCTCTCGTCGGCCAATTCGAGGGGCACCCGTTTCAAGGCCAACATCTTACCGCTCTCGGCCGAGACTCGGTAGACCTTTCCAGAGCCGCCGCGTCCGATGCAGTCGATCTTAGCGTATGCTCTGTTATTGACTCTCAGTAGGATTTGCTTCTTCTTCATGGCTTGTGCTGCAGCCGAGGCGCCAGCGGCCGCCGTGGCAGTCTCGACAACCGTCATTTTGGGTGGTGGTGAGGCTCTTTCCGCAGCAGCCCTTTCTGCGGCCGCCTTCTCAGCAGCGGCCCTTTCGGCAGCAGCCTTCTCCGCCGCCTCTTTCTCAGCTGCCGCCCTCCGGACATCGGCAAGAATTTTCGCCATGTCAATCTTAGCATCGCTGAACTCGGATGCCTTCTCTCCGGCCCGAACGCTGCTGATGACAGCATCTATGTCGACGTTCTCGTCGGAAAATTGCAGTGCTCTACGAACGTTGGCTGACACTCCGAATGGCTTATTTTCGCCTAGAGGGTTGTTTTCTTTCTCCTGGAGGGCGTGGTTGCTGAAGTCCAGCTTCCGATGCTGGCTCCCTGGTGTTGAAGCAAGTTGGCGCAGTACAGCCCTGACAGGCTCCTTTATGCTGACGGGGCTACCCTCACCCTGAGCGACGGCCTCTTCTTCGCTCTGGCGTCTGAAACCGCGACGGGCTGGACCGCTAAGAAAGCTTCCGGGCGTCACCCGTTTAAGCCGCATCGACCCCTGAGGGGCTACAGCGGGCGCGCGTTCGCTGCTGGAAGCTTTCTTGGCCGAATGCTGGCTGCTGTTACCTGAGATCCTGACGGTCCTCACGGGCACCGGTGGCGTGTTGACTGGGGAGGGCACCCTCGACGGGGCCTCCTGGCCACTGCCTTGAGAGGACTGTCGAGGTTGCGAAGCGAATCCAGACGGCGAATGAAGAGCTGGATGAATTGGAGATGGCGGTCGGGATGACGGCAGGCCCTCGTTTGCATCGTGTTGAGGTCTTGCGACTGCATTGCTGCTGCTGCTGCTGGTACTGGATTTGTGATTGCTAGAGCTTAAATTAACCAGAGATTGTGACCGCAATGACGACAAGTCCTTATTTGTGTCGCGTCTGGTGCGGGTGATGACGGCAATGCCATTGGCGCTCGTGCTCTTGCTGGCAGAAGCTGGGTTAAGAGGAGAGGGTGCCCGTGACGAGGGCAGGTCCTTGCCGGTGTCCCGTTTGGTGCGGGTGACGCTGATGCTGTGACTGCTGCTCTCATGCTTCGTGCCAGAGGCAGAGACACCATATGTCCTGCCGCTGCGCGTCGTTGGCTGATGAGAGGCGGTTGTCGAAACCCGGGTGCTGCTACGGGTGGTGCGAGACGAGGCCGTCTGCTGAGAAGCGGCCGCAATCGAACCGCGGCTGCCGCGCCGTGTTCGCGGCTGTGGGACGATTGGAGATTCTGGAGAAGGGAGGCGGGGAGGTTTGCCGTTTGCTGCGAGAGAAGAGCCGCGGTCGCCGCTTCCGTTGAGTAATGCCTTGGTGTAGGCGCTCAACTTCATGGGCACGGGGATTTCCCCGTCCGAGCTGTCGTCGCTGTGCGTCATGTCGACATGCGACCGATTGAACGTCCAATTTCGAAGTGATGGCTTTGTCTTTGTTTCTCAATTGCCAATCAATTCGAAGCTTGCTGATTTGCAATGTTCAATGCTTAGACCTCGAAGCAAGTGTGCGGCATGTCGGGTGTGTGGGAGAGGGACAAGAAGCTGGAAATCTGGGGAAAGGCTTGGGCCCCCTGTCGCGTAGACGTGGTCAGTGCAGAAAACAACGCGTGTTGCCGGGTCAACCAGAATGGATGTGCAGTCTGTCCAAGGTTCGTACCCCTAGTTATGCTTCCAGAAGTGAATCACATGCAGAGATATCAAAATCAAGACAAAACTCAAAAATGGAATAACACTGTTCTGTTTGCACCTCCCAGCACGCAAACGCTCTCGATAGTTACGCATAGGTAGTCGCAATCAACTTAAAGACTCCTAAGTTTACTTATTGCCAATTCTTGACCACTAACCCTAACCCGGTTCTAGCACTTGTATGTACCTTAGGGTAGGTGGAGGCTGGAGCGCAGCCATTTGCATCTTGCGATTCACCTTAGACAAACTGTCCTGGCATTGTACAACCAGAAACTGTGACCCATTACAGCTTGAGGTTCCCAAGGTTCGCTGCCTCCGAAACAGGATAGAACAAATGGCGAATCTACGAAGGTCGATCGACGGGTGCATCCAACTCCAAGTCCCATTTCATATAGCGGTGACTCGGTTCGTTTTCTCAACAGTCAAGACGCAACTCCTTATGTCAGTGGCATTCGTGCCACGAATCGAAGATCATTGAGACCATCATTGCATGCGGAACCACCAAGGGTAGGAGCTGATTGTCCGGAGAGACCTGGCACGTTTATTGGTCCATCTAGATAAATATCTGACGCAGCACGGTATCGCAGACCGATCCCTCAACTTCAAGCCATCTGGATCCGCAGTGGGGGCGTACCATGCGAATGACGTCGTAAGTCGTGCGCATAGATCGTCAAGCCTCTCCGGAAAGCCTGCACTGCGCTGAGTGATGCCCAGGCAATAGCACGCTTAGTCGAAAAGACCGAAGCCCATGTCCTCATCGGACTCCTCCTTCTCTGTACAAAGTATTAGTATTATTGTAGACGACGCAGAATGAGCATTTTGGGTGCATGCCTTCTTCCTTCTTCTCCTCCTCCTTGGGAGCCTCAGCGGCCGCGCCGCCGGCAGCAGCACCACCACCGGCAGCAACAGCGCCACCAGCGCCGCCGGACGGGACGGAGGCGAGCTTAGCGGAACCCTCAGCAATCAGCTGCATCGCAGAATGTCAGTAAACTAACTCCCCAACAGCTTGAGTGGACTGTCCGCTCGCACCGTGTTGATGTCCTTGCCCTCAAGCTCAGAGAGCAGCTTCTCAAGACGCTCATCGTCGGCCTCGATGCCGACGGACTCAAGGACGCCCTTGATGTCGGCCGCCGAGGGAGAGGTGTTGCCGCCAAGGCCGAGAAGGAGGTAAGCCGCCAGGTGCTTCATTTTGCTTGATTTCTGCTGCTGTCGTCAGTCGGCGCCCATCCACAATTGTTTCGCGGCTGGTGATTTAAGCATTGAGAGAGTAATACGCACTTTGGGAGAGGTGTAGAACAAGAGAGGTCAATCAAATTTAACCGCAGGTTGAGGCGGAGAAAGACTCTTCTTGGTTCTAGTCGTTGTTGGCGGGTTTGTCGATAAGTTCTGAGCTGCGATTTATTTGCCAATTCTGAATATTGTGAAAGCGCATTTCAGGACCCCACCAGTCAGGTGACTCCCTTCCAACGAAAGTTAGGGCAGAGTTTTGCTGATGTAATCCTTCGCTCGAAGCCAACCCAGTTAACCAAGACCAAGGTCCGGCCCACCAGCAAGGTCGGCTCCACTGGCTCCACTGTGGGACAGCGAGTCGGGTACGTACCTAGGACTGGTCGGCGGGTCGTCCTCTTATCGCTGGATCGGTGACACTTTTCTCCGATGACAACATCTAGTTATTGGATGCCGGCATTGTTTCCAAGTGGTTCTTGTACCGTCGGACTAAAATTGTTAAGCCCCCTCCAGTAGATAAAACGGCTGTCGACCACCGTTGACAGGCAGCCCATCGATCACGCGAACTCTCTGCTCTTTGACGAACCCACCAGCTGTATCGCTTCGCACCAGTCTTTTGGCTCAAGAAGCGCCTCTTCAAACCCTCATTTTGACCGTGATACGGCATTGGCTTTCACTGTATTGAACTAGGCGCATCGAGAGGCGAAGCGATAGTGGCAAACCTGTGAGCCGACTTTGGCGCCCTACATCGATGACTCCGCGCCGAAACTCGGTGTGAGGTTGGGGAGGGATCTGTCAAAACCTGAGCTTTACGACTTGGCTCACGGCGCCCGCGGTCAAAATGCCGGTAAGCACAACCGCGTTGCTGGGGTTGCGAAAGAGCTGTTGCTCACTGAACATGTCCAGATCCTCGATTTACTTGCGTCAATTTCCGGCGAGAAGCCGCCGCCACCGTCGAACCCCGCCCCTCGGCCCAGTGCACCATTGCCCAAGCGAAAGGCGGAAGACGAGCTTCGCACCGTGGGGGTGAAGGTAGCTCGCGCCCAGCCAGCAGCGGACACCTCTTTACGCCCAAATGGCCAATCGTCTAAGCCATCCCATCCACCTGGCGATAAACCTACCGTGAGCTCCAACACCAAGGCCGCTCCGGCGCCACGGCCTGCCGTCAGCAGGCCAGTGCCAACAGAAAAATCCAACCTTGCCGGATCTAAACCTCGTACTACGGGGTCCTCGAGCACAAATGGGGATAAATCGTTGCCATCGCGGCCGGCTGTCAACCGTCCAGCGCCTGGAGAATCTGCACCGCCAAGAAAGCGGTCGTATAAAGAGATTATGGCTCTGGCAAAGGCGAATGCGGAGCAGAGGGAGTCACTGGGCAAGATCATCCATAAATCGATTGACCGGGGGATGACTATGAAGGAACGAAAGGAACTGAAGGCTGGTGATGCGCGAAAGGCGAAGACGGCGACCCCTGGTCAGAATGGTTCTACCACGACGCCTTCGCGGGACGCAAGTAGAGCGTTGGGCACACGGAGTAAATTCCCATCCGGCCAGATTCCCGCCAAGAAGACAGAGTCGGTCGTGGAAGAAAAGAAAGTCAAGAAGGCAGCGCTAGCCACGACCGGGTACACGGGTACTGCAAGGCCTCCTCCCGGGGCATCAGCACCGGCGAAAGGGGGTGCGGTCAGACGTTCTGGCTTGGAGCCTCAGTCTCGCGAAAGGTCTCGATATGGCGCGCCGAGTCGGGGCTCTCGGAATAGATACGACGAGGAGGACGATGATTTGGACGACTTCATAGAGTACGACGATGAAGAAGACGAGCCTGGGTACGGAAACCGGTACGGTTACGGATACGGCTCTCAAGAAGATGAATCTGATATGGAAGCTGGGCTATCGGACATTGAGACCGAAGAGCAGCAGGCCGCCCGGTTAGCCCGGCGTGAGGACCAGGAGCAAGAGGAATTAGAGAAGCGGCTGAAGCGAGAAAAGGAAGAACGGAAGCGCAGACTGCTCCAGTCGGCAAAATCGAAGGCTGGCGCCCGCTGATGGCTAGATTTTTGTCGCTCACGGGGGCGGTATTTCGGGCGAGACTGATTTCTGGGGGCATGCGGACACGGCGTTGAGTTCAAGACGGGGCAACCCAACGGGATACCGCATTAGCGTTTGGAGTTACGGGTTGATAGTAGCGTGTATAGGATGCATCATTGCGGCCGCTGTATTCCATTTCACTGTAGCCTGTAATAGGCATGCTTCTATCATCCACAGCGCTCTAATGCGTGGTCTTTGATACTTATAAATCGCATGGCCAGCTATCGACGGCTATGATATTATTTGAGACTACACAATCTTCTTCCCTGGCATTCCCAGGATATCTACACACGTATGTATGCCAGTTCTACTTTCCCAGGTACCTAGTATATTTGTGCATCACTGAGGAGATTGTTGTACTTGCGGCCTTCGATGTTCTGTACCTTCAAGTTCACCTTATGGGTACCAGCCAATCAACGGCCACACATACCTAGCTGAGCCCCACCAGTCTTTGAGTGTCCGCCACAGCGATAAGGAGCGACGCCAGTCAATTATTTTTTATCAGCAGGTTCCCGCATCGCATGCTGGGCGGTATTGTTCCAGCGAACGACGGATTGTGCAACACCTGACTGCCCTACTCAATTCTCTGACATCTTAAGTCCTGTTCGCGGGCGCCTAGACTCACCATGGTCTGTGTCTCTGCCTATAACCGCAGATTCTAACGGTGTCGCTAACCACCTACTTCACCTCTACAGCCCCAGAACGAGTACATCGGTATGCTTCCTTCCCCGGACGCCACCGGCACCCTCCACCGAATCCCAAGCGCCTGGCCGACCCGCAGCAACATCAGGAAACAGATACTGACAAAACTTCTCAGAGAGACATCGCAAGCTCCACGGGAAGCGCCTCGACGCCGAGGAGCGGGCACGCAAAAGGGCCGCCCGCGAGGGCCACAAGCAGAGCGAGAATGCGCAGAATCTGCGCGGCCTGCGGGCCAAGCTGTACGCCAAGCAGCGGCATGCTCAAAAGATACAGATGCGCAAGACCATCAAGCAGCACGAGGAGCGCAACGTAAAGGGTGCCCCCGCCGAGAAGGAGCCGTCCGACCCCATCCCCGCCTACCTGCTCGACCGTGCCAACCCGACGACGGCCAAGGCGCTGAGCTCGCAAATCAAGAATAAGCGCGCCGAGAAGGCCGCTAGGTTCTCGGTTCCAATTCCCAAGGTCAAGGGGATCAGCGAGGAGGAGTTGTTCAAGGTGTACGTGCTCGGGCTGTCACTTTGGTTGTACCAAAGGGGGAACAGGCCGTGGGCAATCATGCTGACAGAACGAATAGTGTCAAGACGGGCAAGAAAACACAGAAGAAGGGTATGTTTTTTGAACGGACAGTCTGTTTTGCTCCAGGCGATACTAACTATGAGCAACAGGGTGGAAACGTGTCGTCACCAAGGTTGGCTTCACCCAACAACGCTTGGAACTTTTAGGTGTTAACCCAATTTCAGCCCACCTTTGTCGGCCCCGACTTCACCAGACGGCCGGTTAAATACGAACGTGAGTCCTTGTGTCGCCGTTGCTTGAGCCAGTGTTTGGTCTATGGTGGCTTGTCCCAGGAGGGTTTTCTCTCCTACAACCTGGCCTACGGCCCTGGGCTTGTACAATGAGAGCTGGCAAATAAGAATGCTGATCGTCTCGCAGGCTTTATCCGTCCTATGGGTTTGCGTTACAAGAAGGCCAATGTAACCCACCCAACCCTGAACGTGACAGTACAGCTGCCCATCCTGGGTGTCAAGAAGAACCCCAGTAACCCTCTGTAAGTCGTATTCGAGGTTTTGTATATCTGAGATCGTGAGCTGACACTCGCCAGTTGTACGTCATCTTAATGGATTGGCCAGGGCCTTGTTTCTGTCGAAAGTACTAACTTTAGATAGACACTCAATTGGGTGTTCTAACTAAGGGCACAATGTGAGCCATCCTTGCTCGTACGGTTACCCTTTGGAAAGCCATCTGACAAAGTACGCAGAATCGAGGTCAACGTCTCCGACCTAGGTATTGTCACGGCATCCGGGAAGATTGCTTGGGGCCGCTACGCGCAGATTACAAACAACCCAGAAGTATGCTATCAGCCTCCACCATGTTGTTTGTTTCAGGTTCTAATCTGTTTATTTGGCAGAACGACGGCTGCTTGAATGCTGTCCTCTTAGTATAGCATCAGATGATCGGTTTTTAGGAGCCCCATGTGCCTCTGGGGTAGCTTGGCCAGCAAAGGGCAGGATTTCTTGCATGGGCATGGCGTTTGGTGTTAAGGACCCGGTACTAAAAAAAATTCATGCTTCTTGTCTCCAATTATCGGTGCATTGCCAACATTCAAGACACGAATGGACAGCCTTGCGCGTCGGCAGGTGGAATCACGAGTTTAGTTACATGGGGTGGAGAACTGAACAGAAAGGCAGTGCAATGAAGGTGACTGTATATCGGTCAAGCCCATATCCCGTCGCTGCGCACTGCATGTTAACTTGGCCTTGATACGGGATAGCAAGAGGAAATCCACGAGAAAGCCAGTAAAGTGTCCCATGAATCTTCTTTCGAAGAAAATGAGACGGCATTTCGTGGTCGTGTCTTGCAGATCCGCAATATCCTACCCGCCTAGTCAAAAGATCCTCCGTCCAATTCCCAGGTGCTCTCGTTCCCCTAGGTAGTCGAGAGGTGTGAGCCCACGGATGGTAAAATACCATCCTCCCCGTCTTATACCGCTTGAAGAATGGCATACCGCCAGCACGAATTGTCTTGACGATGGAAGCAGGATTCATATTGACTGAAGCTAACCCGAGCCAGGCAAATTAGGGTATCAAGGCCTAATCATCGGGTGATAGGAAAGGACGCCTCCTGCCCAACTCATAACGAGAATGCCATCTTGAATTCATGGACACGCTCACATGGCACACTCCCCGTGGTTTCCGTACGGCGCTCGGCCGCAGCGATAGCAAAAGTGAGTGCCGCAGAGGCAACTATCTCGAGTCAGCTACTTCAACCCAATGCGGAGGAGAAGGAAAGGTGAAGTACGCGATGTGGTTGCACCCGTCCGTCTTCTCGACCCACCGCTTGCAATTCGGGCACGGCTTCCTACGGCGAGCGTCAGTACTCTTGCTCTTCGTGATCTTTCGGCTCGTCCACACCCTGCTTGAGCAGGTGGTAGGCTCCGAACCCAAAGCGCACACAATTCTCGCCGCCTCGGGCCTAGGGCGGGAACCCCAGGGAGGGATGGAAACTCACCATCCCTTCTCCTTGGACAATCTCCTAAACCTCTCGTCATCCGAGGGCGCCTTCCGCTGCTTGCTCTCACCCTTCACCGTCCCCTGAACCCCAATTTCCGTTCCCCCTCCCTCCCCTAACTCTCCACAGGGCCCGAAATGCGCCTTCGCGCCACACCGGAGACAAGTCCTGGCCCAGCAGCGCCGGCACCTGGCGGTGCGGCCGCCGACGCGCAGGGCCTCGGGGATGAAGGCGCTGCAGCGGGGGTCAAAGCAGTAGACCTTGTGCCTGGCGTCGTGCTCGGCCAGCTTCTCGCGGTAGGCGTGCGATTCGCGCGACGACAGCGCCAGGCAGGCCCGCAGCAGGGACGGCTCGATGCCGTCGCGGCCGCAGCACCGCGCCGGCTGGAATGGCAGGCTGCGGAGGGAGATTGTGAAGTTTCGTCGCAGGCAGGGAAGGCATTCTAAAGAAAGAATCCTGGTTAGCCTTGGGAAAAGGTGTTGAGAGGGATACGTATGAAAGGCCACTTAACCCGTGGGAGAGATCCCTACAGGTGGAGTGAGAAGGCCCAAGTAATACATACGGATGTGACCACAGGGTAGAACGGGGAGTGGCGTCTTGTTCAAACTGTTATGAGTGTCGTAGGTGGATGGTGAGATGGGGGAGGCGCAGATGATACATTCGAGTTCGCCATGGGTGGCCATAATGGGCAACGGGAGGTACGATAGTCGAGATCGAACTCTGCAGTATGAGATTATACTCTGGAAGTTTGGTGAGAAGTTGCTCGTGACTTGGTCGGCTGCCCTGGAGTGATGGATGAATGGTTATGCGGCCATCTCAAAAACTAAAGGGTTAGCCGCCAGGTTAGATGAGGCCAGGTGGCAGAAGAGTGGTTGAGAGGTGAGTATATCAACCCATCTGCCAAACCTGGGCCCAAGTGATAATTCGAGCAATGAGCAAGTGGAAGGAAACGGAGAGGTAGGGTAGCAGTGACTTGACCTGCCACTTGGTGACTCGATATTCCAGCCAAAGCGCCTGGCAACCGTTCAGGTCGATACACTGCCTAAAAGTTAATTCGTCGACCAGCCTCCTCGACACAGGGCAGAGCGTGGTTCGCAGATGTAGACACTGTTTAGGGTTGGCTTTCTGGCAAGGGATCAACTCGATGAGTTCCACGCAGCGAGCAAACAGAGTGAGTTAAGTAAGGTAGTTGTTAAGCTGTCCAGGCAGCAACAGCTTCCTGGTAAGGCGCCCACCAGCCTCGTAGACAACTGTAGCTGCTTGCAGCCTTCTTGACGTGACAACTTCGATAATCCAGGAGGCTGGACTCTAGGCAGGTAAACCGGGAGTCGCAACTCGAAGATAGAGATATATGCTCAGAACCTATGAGTCAAGCATAGGTTGCATGCTGGCTGCAAAGAGCAAACTACCCAAGGCGGCTACGGTAGGTAACGTAGGTAGGCAGTAATCCCCTGCGCCGAATTCCAAAGTCACTCCAAACTCGGAACTTCCAAGTGTGCCAGAACATCGTTGATTAGAGTATTTACACATGAATGAGGAGGCCCAGGACAGGAAAGTAGTCCAAAGACAAATGGATGCAAAGGTCCAGAGGGGTTGGGAGCCCGCGAGCTGCCTGAGAATAGTTGATGCCTTAATTGGGCTCACGGAGACTGCACCCAAAGGACTGGTGTCAAGACCAAGAAATGCATACAGGACCATGAGAGCAGAAGAGAAGGCGATACTGCTTCCACGGAACATGCATACCTCGTACCTTACGGTATCTAATGCAGGAGTAACTGAGGTGCGGTGGTGGAGGTCAGGGTCTTGGTGACAGGATTGCGGGGCTCAGGCTCTTTATCTTATCAGCGTGGTATGATGTCATCAACATTTAGGACGAACCGTCCGTTGAGACAGATCTAAGAAACCGCCGTACTACGTGCCTTCCTATGAGAGGTAGTACGGTAGGTAGTATTGCAAGCGAGTGCGATGAAGAAAAAGCATCGATCTTGGTTAGTGTAGCCTCTACTGATCACGCTCAGCGGGCTCAGCAGACAAACAGTATACAGCCCGAGTGCTGGGGGTAAGGAACTAAGAACTGGAAGGTGTCGCGGTGGGAAGGGGTACTGGGAAGAGAGAGTAGAAGAAAAGCCAGAAGCAGAAGAAGGTATGATTCGTTGAACAGCCAAACTGCCGAGAGCCCAAAAAGGGGTAAAGTACCTACGAACAACAGTATGGGAAACTGTTTGTTCAACCAGACACCATACAGAAGACTCTCAACCGGAACCGCTACGCGACATTGTCATTGCGGTGATCGTTTTTAGCAGGTTCTTTTGAGAACCTGCAACCGCAAAGTTGCACTTTACTCGTGTATACCCTCTCACAACTCGCCATCGGGTCTTCGGCGGCCTGACTAATTATCAATTATCACATTGCAATATAGGTATACTGATAGATGCCGTAGAGATCAGGATAGGAGCTGTCAGCACGTGTCCGCCACCGGCAATTTCAGCGGTTCTCAGCAGCAACCTCCCTTGTTCAACATGCTGTTGCTACAATCCTGGACCTGCACGCTTTGCTATGTGCTTGGGCTACATCCATCAGCCACTGGCCAGCCATATTCAAGATGCGTCCGCCAAACGCTATAAACCGAGAGCACCGAGAGCGAGTCTAACCATCTAGAACCAACCAGACTCCAATGAACGCCGGTACAGTATCTTCAGCCACCCGCATATGTACAATTCAGTACAGACCACTCAACCCAACCAGCTGTCTCACTTGTTATGCCATATAAAATTCCGCAGCCCATCCCACGAGTCGGCATTCGCGTAGATGTAGGTCATGCTGCTGCGCAGACTGGGCTGCAGCTCGGCGGCGTGCCAGCGAAACAGGTGCATGACGGCGGCCCACGAGACGCTGGCAAACACGGGCCAGGCGTAGTAGCTGATGGCGGCGCTGCGCTGGGGCTCCGAGACCCCCGGCAGGCCGTACCCGGGCTTGACGGCCATCCGGGCCAGCGCCAGCACTACGCGCGCAAAGACGTAGATGACGATCTGTTGGTTGACACTCGAGATCTTGCCCGACCGCTTGGAGCGCTGTCCGAAGACAACATAGCCGCCGACGAGGCCGGCGATGAAGCTATCGTAGGGGCCTGTGAGAGCTAGAGAGTTAGCTCTTTTTTTCCTTCCAGAAGGTATCAAGTATGCGTCCCGGTGTCGGGAACAAGGGGAAAGTTTGGATCGCCTGCCTTCTTTGCCCGGTGTCGTCCCATACCACTTTAGCAGCAGACATGTAGCCTTGTAGATGGCGGCAAACTTGGCGAGGTTTCGGGCGTGTGTTCTTGTCGCGCGGAAGATGAGCCGTGCTTTCTCGCGGAGGCTGAAGGGTTCGGTGGAAATGGTTAGCTGTTGGACAAGGGTATAATGGACCGGCCAGGGTCGGGAATGCATACGTTCCAGAACGGAAAAGCATAATCATTCTGTTCATATTCCATCAGTTTAACTCTGATTGCTTGAGGACATATGAGGAAGAACCATACACCAGGGCGTGCGGAAACCGCACTTTGGTGCCGTAGACGGCGCCATTGCGGGCGCCCTTGACGACTGTCAGGAGATCGTGGTATCTCGGGTCAAGGACGATGCGCTCGGCCGCGGCCTGCATGACATTTGGTCAAAAAATGCCCTCTTTTCTGCGTCTGACGGACGATCATCCTTGGAGTCGCACCTTGAGCGTCTCGATTGCGCCGGACATGTTGCCTCGGCAGTTGGGAGACGGGAGAGAGGTCGATAAAGCGGGGAGCTAGGACTCGGTGCGCTCAGCACTCGGGAAAAGGGCCGGATCTCTACCTCATTGGAGATCGGAGCAAAGTAATACGCCGTCCTGAAAGACTCGGGGCAGCAAACGGGGTGTCGGGTCTCCGCCTGAGACTCGTCGCGGTGCGGGGAGAAATAGGATTCGGGCAACGCAATGTGCACCTCGGCGGGATAGCGGCAGTTTTCGGCTGAGACCCTGGCTGTCCGGGGAACGGGCTTGGCTCCCCACGAACATGACGCAGGGGCGCAGCATGTGGGCCTGCCGGTTGCAGTTCTCCGGCATTTTGCATGTGAAAGCGAACCCGCCCCGCCTTTTGTCCAATGTTGCCTGCTGTTCACTTTCCACACTCTACGTGTAAACCGTAGCAAAATGCCTTACCCAGGGACGCTGTGGCTTGATTGATAAAATGGCCTTCTCCAGTGAAACTACGCCGTGGTTCCAGCTCGCAAAACTACAGGCCCTAGGTCAAAGCCTCAAAATCGAAACCATCATTGGAGGGTCGTGGTTCTGTTGTGGGTTCGAGCTGCGCTACGTGGTTTGCCGCTTACGAAGTAAGCCTGCGCATACATTGACCACACCTGTACGCCAAACCCACTATGTAGCAGTCGATCACAGATGTCACCTTTTCGTGGTTTCGCTCAGAACCTTTGTTTCACTGGAGCAGGCCCAAAGTCGAACCATGCACCGCATTAAGAGCCTCTGGTGCCTGAATAGTTGCCGAGGCTGCCTTGGCTCGAGCTTGTTTGATGGTATGTAGACCCCTAAAGCTAGCCCCCAACCTTAGGAGTCTCACCCAGGAAACCACCTCGGGCTCCTTTATAATCTTGTTCACCTACAACATCCACCTCCTAGAGCTTTAAGATCCTTGTCACACTATAAGCATCACGAAGCTGGCAGTTCTCTGGACTCGTTCTTTCTCAATGCCTCCTTGTTATGTTATCAGGTGGTGGCTCGCTTCAGCCTTCACCGTAGCACCGCCGTATTCCACTCTATATTTGTACCTGACATCACAGGACTCGGACACAGAGTCACGGTCCCAGCCCACTCACACTTGACCTCACTCGCACGACCCAAAGCCACTCGTCAAGTTTCTCTTCACTGTCGTCCTCTTCGGTCTCGCATAGCTACCATACCAAATCTTTCATTCAACCTTTTTCTTCTTCTCTTAAACCCTACATGCAAAACCCGTTTCCTCCTCCTGTCTCTGACGGTCCCTGGAATCCCAAAGTCAGTTCAGTCAATGATCATCGAAGTTCTCTCTGTGAACACCCTCAACGGTTCACAACTCACCCCTGAACAAGGGGGCACGATGGAGTAATGAAAAGGAAAGGAAATAAAAGAGACATAACAGGAAAACAAACCAGATTCGATTGAAATGAAAAGACAAAAAGTGGAAAATTGGCTCAAAGGGGCAACAAAAGGAACCGGAAGCCGGCACTTACTACCATTAGCATTCGTGTCACTGTGGTCATTCCTGAAACGATGGGCCCTCTGCCCGCAAACCCGACACGTCCTACGGTTACACAGGGGACATTTGGCCGTCCTGGGGCCCAGCCAGCGCCCGGCGAGGAACATGCCGCAGCGTTCCCTGTCGTAGCAGTACAGGCGCTGCGAGACGGGCGTCCGCATTTCGCGCAGCTTGTCGCGGTAGGCGAGGAACTCGGCTGGCGTGGCCGCCGGGCCGAGGTCCGCCAGCGGAATCTCGACGCCGTCCGAGTCCCTGCTGCTGCTGGCAGCAGTGGTGGCTGGGTTGCTGGAGCCTTCGTTGCTTCCGTCGGAAGTTGTGTTCTCGGGTGACGGCTGTGATGATGGAAGTTTGGGGCAGCATGGGCAGACTGCCGGGATGAAGGGGTCCGTTGCGAGAGAGGCAAGGAGGGAGGACCTCGCGCAGGCGCGGCAAAGGGTGTGGCCGCACTTCAGAGGTCGGGGCCGTGGCTCATCAGGATGCGTGTGGGGGTGAAGCACAGGGTGAGAAAAGGGTCGGCGACATTTAGAGCAGAAGCGTCTTGTTGGGCTGGATGAGGAAGAAATTGCAGGGTTGATTGTGCGCTTCGTCGGATAGGGGGTTGTGGGTGGAGTGGGTAGCGACGTCGGTGTGTTTGGGAGCGGTGCCGGTAGGCCAGTGGATCTCAGTGCCGTCGGTCGAAACCCGGCTCGGGATTCAGGATCTGGGGTTGAGGGTGGTCCCGAGGTGCGGGCTGGAGATGGAGTCCTTGGTCCGTATGCTCGTGGCGGGGTCATCTCAGGAGTCAGCGGGTTCGGCTCGGGTCCAGCTTGCTTGACTGGCGTTTCTGGCGGTGTTGGTGGAAGGCCGTTTGATACTTGAGCCTGCAGTCTTCCAGTTTCGACTCTGATATCTTCCGAGTCCTGGCATTGAGTGATAGGCCGAGACGTTCCGATGCCCATACCTGATAAAAGGGGTAAGGGGGCACTTTGATTGTCCTTAACGACGTGAAATCAAGCGTACCAAGAGCTCGTGACTGTGAGGATCAAGTTAAGCGTTGGGATCAGTGGGCAGTTGAATTGAACTTGACAGTTATTCCAAGATCCATATAGAAAGTAGCTAGTAGAGACAGGTGCCGGGTTATTTGATGCTCTACTGCGGCCTGACCTCGTTTCCCTAAATGGTTCTCCTTTTTTACCTTGCAATAATTGCATTGGGACAATGGTTGACTCAAGTATCCTTGGTCGCGGTGTTCATCACTGACGTTGACCGTTGACGCCTGACATATTGTGTGGCATTCTCTAAGTGGAGGCTCGAGCCCGGTTGAGCTGGCGCTCAAACCGTGCTCATAGCTGCCGTCCACGTAGCTACCTGACCTAAACCACCTGCCTACCTCAGGTAAGGTAGGTACTGTATGCACTGTATATTTTAATGGGAGACAGCAAACGTACGGGAGATAGGAAGCCAGCTCATACAAGACCCTTAGACCCGGCACTCCTTGATTCCTGGTTTCAGGCGCAAAGAAAATATATACATAGAGCAAAGCGCAGAAAAGGGAAAATAGAAAAGAAAAAGCAGAGGGAAGGAGAAAAGGAAAAATTGAAAAGAAAAAAAGAGCAAAACGAAGAAAGAGAGAGAAAACGAGAGCTGGTGATAGACTATAGAGTTGTGTTGGATTGAGCCAGTACTAATAGGATTCGACCAATCATGTGAGAACTTGAAGCACTATTATACACTTGGAGCCGGTAAAGTGTATGAGGTTAAGACTACCTACTAGTGAATGAGGCATTATATCAACGGAGGTCATTCATGGCATACCTTGAAGTACAGCCCGTATCAGAATCTGAAATTCAACCTCACGCCATGAGAATCGGCAGAAATTACCTACTAGTAGATTATAGAGAGGTATGCTGAGTTGATTGGCCACGGAACCTGTAGGCTACGTACGGCATGTATCAGATGTGTTGGTTTTAGGCCAAGGCTAGCAACTCCCGAGTCCTAGATTGCCGTAGGTTCCCAGTTGTATGTACGTACACACATGATACCAGACACGTGGGTCTCCCGGTCCTCATCTTTGAGTCACGGCAAGAGTACTAGGTCCAGGCACCGTACCAGGCTTTGAATCAAGTTATAGTAGAAGTTGTGCATTATATACAAGAATGGGAGTGCTTCGAAACGCTACATATCAGGCCAATTCATTCACAAACAGTCAAACCCGCCCCGATAACCCAAACAATCAAGATCGATTTTTTGCGGCAGACCTCCTTCCCGAATCCTTCTTCTTGGATCAGCCAATGTACATACATGCGCACTAGGCGATGAAGGTGGAGTGCTGGGCAGGAGAAGCGCTGGTGGCGGTCTGGGGCTGGGCATTCGTCACGGTGCCCGAGACGTAGAGGTTGAGACGTCCACTGCCACCGCACCACTGGCCATGGTTGCCCGAGCAGATCTGGCTGCAGTCCTCTTCGTGAGCGGCCGCGCCGCCGAGCTCATTGCCGCAGTAGCACTCGCTGGCGTACTCAACGCCGAAGTAGTTGTACCCCTGGCAAAAAGCCGCGCAACTCTCGACCGTCATGTTATTGTTGCGTAACACGTCGCCAGTCAAGGAACGAGCAGAGCCGTCATCGGTCCAGCAGGATTTGTAGCTAAAACCGATGATGCCCAGGTTGACAGGAGTCTTTTTGCCGCTTTGGCTGATGAAGACGTTAAGGCGGTCGGCATCGCCGCACACATTGCTCTTGTCGCCGCCGCAGCGTGTCGCGCACTCGGCCTGAGACACCTGCTGGGCTGTCGGCCGGAGGTCGGTGCCGCAGTAGCACTGGGAGCCGTACTCGACGCCGAAGTAAGAGTAACCATCGCAGGCAGCCGCGCACGCCTCCAGGGTCATGGCCGAGTCGTACGTGATCTTGCCCGTGAGCGACCGTTCATCGAGATCGTCCGTGAAGCAGCCCACATACTGGAACTCGCCAACGGTCGCGGGCGACTGAACCGGTGAGCCCCACACGTTGATGCGGCCCTTGTCGCCGCAGAGCTGGGAGTCGTCGCCGGCACAACGCATGGAGCATTCAGACTCGGGGGCTGGCGTCTTGGCAGGCTTGTTGCCGCACCAGCACTCACGACCATACTCAACACCGAAATAGCTGTAGCCTGTGCAGTGCTCGGCGCACTTTTGGGCCGTCATGTCATCGGCGCCAAGGAGGTTATCCGGCAGTGCACGGGCACCCTCGTCGACGAAGCAGCCCACGTAGGGCACATTGAGCGTTGCGGGAGTCGGCTCGACGTAGAGGTAGTTTGTGTACACATTGAGACGGTTGCCAGCGCCGCATGTTTGAGTGCTGTCGCCGGAGCAGGGAAAGGAGCAATCGCTATCAGCAGCGGGCTGGGTCGGGAAAGAGTCTCCGCAGTAGCACTCGATGCCGTACTCAAGACCAAAGTATTTGAACTTGGAGCAGAATGTAGCGCAGCTTCCTATTGTCATGGAGTTGTCGGAGGAATAGCTCGCACCAGGGAGGGCTCTTTTCCCATCCACGTTGTCGACGAAACACCCTCCACGAGCCGAGGAGGTATCAAGCCGCTTGTAAGGCTGATGGGGGAATGCCTGAGCAGCCACAAGGCAAGCGAGCGAGACAGCCGCCCGGAAGCCTGCCCTGGAGCTGATGGAGGCCATGACGAAAATAAGATAAACGAGTGTGGTGGTGATGAACTGGCAATAGTTGCCGATTCCTTGACTCCTTGGCGTGGGTTGTGTCCCCCTTTATGATGATTCGAGCTGGCCACCCAGCTCGTCTCCAGTTGGCTCACAGTCACGCCCCTACCGAGCCAAATTCGGTTTCGATAGATCGCGAACGGCGCGAGGCCGCATCTCCCCTGAAGCCTCCATGCGAGTCCATGGACATGGTCAACACAGTTGCTTGTGCGCTGAGGGTAGCCCCGGGCGCCACAGTGAGCCTCATCTCCTGGAACCCGCGGAGATCAGAATCTGACCAATTATGAGCATCGTCCTGTTCACATCTGTCTGGGATGAGAACGTTGTGGAAATTTTGCTCTGGGAAGGCTGAACGAGAAAGAACTCGAAAAGGCAAGGAGCAAACGGACTAGTGGTTCAGCTAACGGTGTCAGTTCAGAAGAGAACTAGTCTAGCCGGATAAGGCAAGGCCGTGGAGGCAGGACCGGTCTATTGGATATAGCTTGGCATAGCTTGGCATAGCTTGGCGGACAATCTCTGGGGTAACCTGTCGAAAACACCAAAATGCCCGGGTTTTGTTATCAGTCGATGGTGTTGCGGACTTGCGTGTACGGAGTACTCCGTAATTAATGCTTCGATTTTACTCAGTTCTTACTTAAGTCTGGTGGCTTCTGAAAGGAGAATCGGTCCCCGCCCTGGAACTTGTGGAGGCTTGCGGGTGCAGGCTGCCAGTAATGAGTAACGCCCGTTTTGATGAATTGAAAGTTCCGTTCTTCCTCCGTTTCGTACGCCCCAGCCTTTTTAGCTATGTGTATTCTTGAGTCATGTCCCCAATGGACATCTTCGAAACCTGAATCTTTCATCAGCTGAGGACCCACAATGCGCCAGGGCAGGCACGGCTTGCAGCTGCGTCTCTTTCGCGTTACGTCTCATCCCGCTCCTCACAGTCACCCCGTCTACATGTAGACTCGTTCCTAAAGTCACCAGTTGCATCTGATGCATGAAACCAGCACATCGACAAGATGTGCTGCCGCTGCTGCGTAGGGCACAGGTATGTATTGTACTACCTACCATTTTTCTTTTGTAGAGTACTGTAGTCCTGGAGTCTCGGCAGCTGATTAATGATTTTATCTCATAACGTTATGCTTGAACGTTATATGGATCTTGGCACCAAACGCCTAGCGGAGGTGCAAGTCGCGGTGATTGAAGGGTTCCGGGGAAGATTCTGCCTTGTCAGCACGTGTTTTCTAGCATCCTCCAGCAGATACACCCTGCGGACGTCTAGGTACTCGAGGTTCTCACGAACCAGGGCTTAGGGGGAAGAACCTTTACTGGAGATACGTAGGCCAAGCCTTCTACGTACTCACAGGGCTGAAATGTGTTGCCGGGGTGCGTTTGTTGGTCAGATCATACCCAACGTACTTGGGTACAGTACCTACCGAGTCTTCGAAGCCTTCCATACCTGAAGTATCACGACCTGCCATGCCACCCGAAGAGTTGGATTCTCCATCTTCAGGACCCTCGAATTTTGATCGTCAATCAGGCACCTATACGGGACTATCTTCCTGAGAATGACACGAGCCCATGGCTCTAGAAGTCTAGAGAGTCTCAGGGGATGGAAGGAACATCTACTACAACAGCGAATAGCATAGCCAGCCAGATCATATCTGTGGCTTAGATTTGCGGCCCTACGGTTCCACAGAGATGTTGGCTCTGTGCGTACTGCCTGGCAGGTAATGAGATCCTTCAATTCGGGCTCCAGCATTCGAAGACTCAAGCTACGCAGTGCGTGACTCGGAGACCCGCAGTCGTGAACGCTCCGGGTCGTTTCAGACGTGCTAATCGTTGAACTGACAGGTCTCATTTCGCATGTCTATTGATATTGGGGTGGTACAGTGCTCAGCGTGTTCCACCAGCTCGAGCACCTTGAAACTTTAGAAGCAGGTGAGCCTTCATGTTCCAACAAGAGTACCCCAACCCCAACTGGCTTCCACCAGGTCTATCGCACCGTATGTGTCACGCACATCGGACTGGTTCCTGAACTTGATGTAACTCTGGCCATATCTGCTATCATCTGGCGCTCGAGGGAGGAATGTTGATGACCTACTTGGTACTTACTCACCTGAGTCCTGACGTAAGCTCCTACAGAGCACTTACAACAGGATGAGACCTCGGTCCAGATACTTCTTGCCAAGGTGAGTCCCGTTGTGAAGCCTATGATCCGCTGTATGGTTATGTGGGATCTGTATATGAACTTATGAAGCTTACCAAAATACCAAGTACAGCCTGGGCTGTCACGGCCAAGCAGAAAACCTAACCGATGGTATGTTAATATCCTTTAGACATAAGCCCACGGCCCACAAGACTGCTATACTGATATTACAGACGGTCGTCGGCATAGCGTTAACTCCGAGAAAGGCATGTGCGCGTGATCTTCCCCGTTGGGCGGCTCAGGGCTGCAAAGTACTATAAGCCAGGGCAGCGACGCCGGACTGAATTCGGCGAATTGGAGTCCCGAGGATTGGGGACTAGGTGAACCATGACACTCAAGCCTCTCTCCTTTGGGAAAGATGGGGTAGATGGCCGCCGCCAAGAGACCTGGAGAGAGCATTCGAAGTTTACCGAGAGAATCAATTTAGCCTGGCCGCTTTGCTTTCATCTGTCCGGCTTTTAGCCTGTCTGCAACTTCCAAATTTGGCAACGACAAAGACCATACTGCTGACCCATCAGATAAAAGAACCGGCCTGCATTGCATATTGATTCTGGGGTAGGAGAGGGCTTGGCTCTTGGCCCTTGGCTGCCGTCTTTACAGGCCATCGGTAGGAGAGGTCGGCACGCATGGGCCGCCCTCGGGAGAGTGCGATCCTCCTCCGTCCCAGGGAGCCGGTGCTCAATCGAGACGATCTGGCGATGGCATCGGCTCGCTGAGGGAAGGACAACTTGACAAGTGGGCGAGTGGGCTTGGTTCATCCTGAGCGACGCGGGAGTAGAAGTAGCACCAGGACGAAACCCATAGCTACATCAACACCCGCGCCTGACCACCTCACCCTTTCTGCCGGTAATTGGTTCTGCTTCCTCGTGCTGGAGCGAGGGCACCTTGATGGACATGGAATGAAGCATTGGGAACTCAGAAGAATGACTTCGAGTGCCTATCATACCAGGTAAAATAAGGTAGCCAAACATACGACGAACACTTTGTGCATGTAGAAAGGTGCTCACTGTTTTAATAGAACACCGAATCACCTGGACCGAAAGCCACTTGCTGCCTAGACAATGCGCCCCTATCCAGCAGTGGTTCATCATCGGCAGGCACGTTCCCGGCTATTCTGCCCGAGGAAGGTTCTTGCCCACCCCCCTTCCAGTTGCATCAACCACAGACGGCAGTCGCTTCCAATCAATCAGAGCGGCTTGTTGAACTTGCGCACGTTTCTTGTCACAAACTACCTTACCTGTGCAAAATGGACGACACGGCCCTTTATTGCAAAGCCGCCCATTCACGGTTCAATTTCAGGTCATCTAAACGCAATGAAGCCGGTTTGATAGGGACCCAGCCGCTTCTTATACCCGCCTGGCGCTGCACATGTACCGCAACCACATCTCCGAAGGGGTGAGGTAAGGTAGTACTCGAATACCTACAGCTTCGCGGGACCGCTTGCCCAGGTGTAGCAAGTGTCTTTTTGTCTAAGGCTTATCTGCAACACCACCTAGCTCAGACTGCAGGTGCTCATGGCACTAAATCCGGTGCCGTCTCCCATCAACCCGGCGATCCATTCTCTCCCCTTTTTCTCGTTCCGCCCAGAGTCACAGCAAACGATCGACCCCTGTCTCTCTCCCCTTTCGTTCAAAGCCGACCGACATTTGTCCCTTCCCGAGACGCTACTTACCTCCCGGTTTCTAGCCGCCAAGGCCAGGCCCGATCCAATCAATTGATTACATGGCAATCTAGATGAATTGACGTCAATTGCGCTGGTCTGCTTGAGCGGGCAGAGCGGCCAGCCCGAATTCCAGCTGGCCTGACTGTACTTAATTCTGGCCCCGACTTCTCACCTGGTTTTGCCAGCCCCGTCAAGAGGGACGGGTGCTACGCAACTGCCGCACACATCGCTAATAGCCTGCGTCCGCTGCGGCGGGAAAGTCGTGGGGAAACCAAGTGAGAGACCGGGTGGAGAAAAGTAAAAGGACCGCTCCATCCCGGGAACCGAAGAGCGTGGTTGCGGCCTTCCCTGTCACCCTGTGCAACTCAACCCCCCCGTCGCCCTGTCACGCAGTGCTTCCAACCCCTAAAAGGCCCCGCCATTTCGCTGCCTTTTCCTGCCTGGGATTCTCCCCTAGCCTGGTCTGGCTCCACGATGCAGTGGATGTACCCCGTGAGCCAGCCAGCCACGTTGCCCTGTCTCCATGTCGAATCTTGTGCAGCATCGAGCGATGCACGATGAGGGACCATATGTGGCGGTCATCCACACTGGAAACAACCGTGGTTCGCACGCCGACCATATGCAAGCCTCCGTGATGGACAACTACGTCCCATGCCCGTGAGTCTATGCCCCTAGCCGTCGGTCGAGAACTTCCGACCTCGTAACTCCTGTAGAGCAGAACGCTGATCTGCTCCTACTAGGTACGAAGGGAAGGTTATTACGAATGGCACTGCGGCCCGTATGGTTCTCATGTTTCTCCGAGAGCTTCTCGACCATCTGTCTGCGGGCGGGCTAGCCCAGGAGAGCTACAGGTGTCCCATCTCGAAGTGTCGCAGCACCTTCCCGGCCCCAATCCAACTCATTCAACATCTCTTGTCCTGTCCATTGCTCCTGAGCGGCGAGTTTGACTGTGACAAGTGCAACAGTTGGCACAGCTACCCTACAAACGAAAAGGACTGGGCACAATGGGTGGGCTGGAAGTCACAACCACCCGCGCATGGGAGCCACATCCAGCGAAAGCGCAGCCTTGGCTCAAAAATGAGGGACTTCGCCATCTTGAGGAGAAAGGAATCCTCGCGGAAACAGAACCCAGCCTTAGACCGACAATCCAAAGATCACAGCTATTTTTCGAACTCCAGGCCAAGTACAGCAGTCTCAGAGACGCCGAGCACCACTTATACAGCCAGGGATGTGGATCATATCATGGCTTTCCCAGGCCAGGGGCGCACTCTCAACTTCCCAGACGTGGACAAGCCCATGCTGCCTCACGGCCTTCCGGAGGTCAGTGGAGGCATGTTTTGGCCCGGTTTCCACGCGAGCCAGCTCTGTGATTTGCCGTCGACGGTCTCTTCAATAGCCCCTTCGTCAACACTGGTCGAAGACGATTCGCCCAAGGCGCTTACTGAAAACAACTCTCAGACTACGCTATTCAATCCTGCCTTGAGTCCGTACCAACCTTCTACCACCTCGACCCAGGAAACCACCGGTTCCTTGGCACCAGCACAGCAGTATCTCTTTCCTTCGCAGCGTCCCTATGACCAAGGGCCGATATCCCTCCCCGGTCCCCAGCCGGCGCCTTCTGCCATGTCGTTAGATGAACCACTACCCGTGACCGGGTCGGCTCTGTCACCAGTAGAGCTCCGTCCCACACCATCAGGTGGTGAACACTCCTGGTGGGGGTCCAAGATGGGGGTCGAAACACCCCGGCAAGCTCCCTCATCGCCCGCACACGAGACCAACTTTAACCTCCAAGCATCCATGGCGGGCATTCTGAGCAAGGGGCTAGGCAGTGGCGTGTCCAGTCCAACCTCTCCCTGTAGAGACGCATCCCCGTTTTATCGAATACAGCCATCTTCAGGCCATTCCATGTCTCGAGCACTCAGTCACGATTCGATGCAAGTCGGGACGACTGCCTACGGAACGCCAGTCCCTGATGGAAATCGATTGGACGCGCTGTCCCCTCATGCTAATCACAATCACCACTCGCTTGATGTGCATCACAAGACGGGTTTAGAATCTGCTGAAGACCTTAGATGCGATGAATGCAATTGGAAGCCAAGAGGCGTCAGGGAGAACCTCAAAGGTTACCTCCGCAAACACAAGAACACGCATAAGGGGCTCAGGCTGGCTTGTGATGTGCCTGACTGCAGCAAGACCTTCAGCCGGCTGGACAACCTGAAGAAGCACAAAAAGGACAAGCATGGAATTGAAGATGGGAGTAGTATCACGCCTGGAAAGAAGGTGGACAATGATTACGCTGAGAACATGGAGGAGGAAGTCGAACAGAGGCGGCCGAGCACCGTTGAGTCGGAACTCCGCGGCTTGACGGAAAGCTATCCAATGCTCTGGCCGGCGCTGCATTTTTAGCCTGGCTTGGTTATATTGGTCAAGGCCGGTCATACAGAGGACCGCATTGCACACTCGCTCAAGGTTTTCTTTCCAAGTTTACAAGTCATTGCACGCTCTCATAGAGCTGGTTCGCGGCTATCACAACAACATGTCCATCCCTTACTACCTAATTATTCTCTTGGATATACATTTTACTTGGTACATTCCTCAGATACCCACAATTGCCTGACTAGGGCCCAATCCCTCTCAGGTTCGACCACTATGCATATCAACATATATGGGAGGTTCCCTAGCCCCTATCACTTTGTACCACTTGATGTGCTTGCCTGCCATATACTAGCTGTTGACTCAGATGCCCCTCTAGTGTGTGTGGGCATTCCTCTGTTGTTCAATATGCTAAGGGGCTAGAAGAGATGGGTCTCAGTAAGGGGACTAAGGTGACAACCGCATTAAAGGACCAAAAAGCTAAGGAATGGCACCAAGTCAGGGGGCCAGGAACCAGTAAATGGAAAGCGATAGACACACATCATATGCCAAAGCCTAAGGTATTCACGATGGTAATGGTTTGATACCAATAACATTGCTAGAACATTAAGTCCTTAACTTCTCCTACCAGTAAGGAGATTAGGAGTAAGTCTCTCTAGTGAGGTAATACTCTACCGCCGTCGGGAGAAGATTTTGGAGGGCTATCTCACATGGAAATGTAAATCACTTAATGAGAGTTTTGGAGTCGGAATTGAATTTCGTGGTGCCTGTAGTAGGCTTTGATTCTCTTTCGGCGGCCTCCCGGCTGTCTAGAACTCTAGGCATCAAACATTCATTTTCAAGATGCAACCTGACGCTATCCCGTTCCACAGTTGTGACGATCTTTGTCCGGTGGAAGATGCGGGGTACAGGTGTATTGGTTTGTTCTGTCGGCTCAAAGCCCAGCATTTCTCTCCAGTGACGTGTTGGTCACGGGCTCCTGGCTCCAACCGAGCGATCAGGATGACGACAGTGACGCAAGGAGTGAAAAGGGGTCGGGATGGTGCCACCACCACTTAACATTATAAAGCTATATGGTCGGCCTCTCACTCTCTCTGGAATACCATCTCTCCCACACACCCAAAGCACACCAAAGACAAGGTATAGCAAGACCCAATTCAGGCATTATACCACCGTGTCCAATTGATATCCACCATGCCCGTCCCAAAGAAGGCTACTCACCCGCATCACGTCGTGCCTAAGCACGAGACGGGCTACACTGACGAGGCGGCCGAGGAGTGCCACGACCTCATTGACCGGGCCGAGGAAGATGCGCACGTGGGTCGTCCCCGAGTCTGAGTCATTGCCGTGTCTTACAAAGGCTAGTACTGGGCGTTGACATGAGATCATGTAGCTCCACGAACCTGGCTCGATGTACTCGACGCGGGAGTCCGGTGAGCCCCCCCATAGGATGCCGAAAAGCGGCCTGGAGGGCAGCTCCAGTAGCCAATCCCAATCCCAGGCAAGCGGAATGGGTGGCAAGCTCCAGGAGACCGCAAAGAACATCACGAGAACAGCTGGCGAGAAGATGGGCCAGATGAAAGAGACCATGGGCTTGAAAAAATAAGCTCGAGTACGCCATTCATGATTCTGATTCAGGCAGGCTAGGGAGCGAGATAGCAGCCAAGCGAGATTGGTGAACAACGAGAAGATGCTTAGGTGATAGTCTCCAGTCACTTCAATAGCAGTGAATCAACAATCCGTCTATACATATGATACTCATGCATCTGAAGATGGCCGGTCATATGATGAAACCCCCTTGGGCCGATGGCATGGAAATTCTCGTCGACACTGCTAATACTACCACGGAAGGGAGAGTACTATGGATGAAGGGCGGTCCGAGTTCGGCCTTTAGACACATGCAGTGTCAAAGTCTAGACAGACCCTAGAGACGGAACCTAGGTACCCAGCTTATAGTACGAATAGTGGCCAAGGAGATGGCCAGCCAATGCCAATGACGGCTAGGAATCCACACGCATCATGATGTGGATGTTATTTTGGTCGGCAGATATTCCGGGGAGACAGATGGGGTGTTGAAAATTACCTACCTACCTTACGTTAAAGAGGTCACCCCTGGACCCTGGTTAGCTGGATTCAATGTTAGGTAGGTACTGTATCTGTCCTCTCACACGGATGCTCCAAGAACATGTAGTTTGATGCCAGTAGTATCTCGTCGGGGACTTAGTAGGTAGAAAACATGAATCTACAGGGCTTCGATTTGGAGTCAGTTGCATCTTAGGTAGTTACAATCGCCGGTAATAATTGTATTGATAATTTGATCGGTACTTTCATCGCCAACAAAATATCCAGTCTTCCTGGAACTGTAAGTAAGTACCTTTCGAGAAACCAGTGCATCTCGGCAAGGGGTGGTTCGTCCTATACTACTAGTATCCACTCTATGGAATAATGGAAGGAAACAATAGAGTTGTGATCCGTCCCGATCTAGAACCGAATGCTGCTAAGCACTGTCAAGAAAAGGAGAAGGAAAGTCTGTCCGTGTGAACAGAAGCACCTTGATTCCTTAAGTAATCCCCCGAAGAGAACCTTTCCCAGAATCCCAACACCCCATCATCCACAATGCTAAGAGGTAGCCAGTCCGCGGTCACTCCTTCTGAGGTCTGGTCGCACCCAAATCAGGGTAAGCCTTGCGAGCGATGTCTTGCCACTCCTCATCCTCTGTGTACTCTTTGCGAATAGGGTCAATGAGTTCGATCAAGCCCTTTTGGACAATTGCTTTGACAATCTGAGGTGTAAGTACATCAGATTCGTAAGCCGAGACTATTTGTTGAAAATTCGTGAACGTGGTCGGTTCCGTCTGGTCCTTCAACACCACTTTTAGAGCGGCCTTGCCGTCGACGGAACGCAGAGCTGAGAATGGAAGTATGACGTGCTGGATGAAGGCCAGTATCCCGTTCCCTGCCACGGTTCGTGGAGCGCAGACGGCCTTGGAGACCTTTTTGCGTATTGTTGCTTCATCGTCGATCAGGTCGATCTTGGACTTCAGGTCAGAGCTGCTCATTTTCCCTCCCGACAAGCCTGGCACCATTCCAGTCATGAGATGTGCTCTAGTCTTGAAGCCCATCTTGTGCATGGTGTCGTTGGCCAGCGCAAAAGTTTTGCGCTGGTCAAGGCCTCCGAACTCAGCATCCACGTCGAGGTATTCTTCGTCGAGAAGCTGCATCATTGGGTAAATGGCATCCGCCATGCAAGGGTCGCCCGTAGATTTTACGATCTCGGAGCTCGCTTTCACGGCGCCATGGACCGAAACTTTCTTGCTGAGCCGCAGAAGATCGCGAGAGAACTCGGGGCTGAGCTGGTACGAGCTGCCGCGAACAAACTCGAGATTGCTCAAGTCGACGCCAACGCTACGGAGTAAGGCTCGAATAACCCGCTCGTAGTACTGGGCTCGAAATTCCAGCACTTCCTCTGGAGCTTTGTCGGCATCGAGAAAGCCATGAAGGTCAGCAAGGAGTATCTTTACATGACAACCGCAGCTGAGAAACTGGGCGACCTTGATGGCGGGTAGAAAATAGGCGGCATGCGGTCTGCCTGTGGTTGGCGGTGCCCCAGTAGATCTTCAGGGGCCGAACAGGGAGAATGTCTCGAATGATATCACCACGGATGACTTCTTGGAGGTTGAAGTGATAATGTCGTATTTTTTTCTCTGCGCTCAGAGGTCTTGCGGTCATCCCGGCAGGCATAGCTGGTAGGTACCTAGGTTATGAAGCTAGAAATGGAGGCACGGATGATGGCTTGATCGATGGATGGTGAATTCGGGACTTCAATAGTTCAAGCTTTGGTGAATGATTTTGGCTTGATGGGATGAGAACTGTGATGGTCGGCCACATGGGGTGAAGAACCTTTCATTGCTACTCGGGGTTGATGCCGACTTTATAGTACATGTGAGTACTTTACCTAGTAAGTATGATGAACAACGACTTGAATACTAAGAGGGATGGCCGGGAGAGCATTTTCTCCTCCCGCTATTGAGTCACGGCTGGATAGAGGCTGATTTGGGAGGCTTCCTTGCCTGGCCCTGGCCTGGGCTCGGTGGTCGGCTGGGCTTCGTCCCGGCCAGTGAGTTGGTAACGCTGAAGTACCTCAGCAGGCTCAGCTGCAAGTAAACACAGCCGCGCGCGAAACCCATCAAAGCACTGCCTCGACCAACTTTGGCGACCGCAATGCCTAACCCAACTAATGGAAATCCATGAAAATGCCAATGTGATTCGGCCACTCTAATGCAGTCGCACTTCCTTTGTCACCAACTTTCTTGATATGAACAAACGAGCCCCCTCATTAGGGGCGCGGCGAATGACTCCGGCTGCCTCACAAATGAAAAGTGAGTACCTACCCTACCTAGATAACCCAATCGCCGTGTGACTTCCGCTCGTTGTTGGTGTTCTCTTGCCCCAATCTTTGGCTGGTAGCAGGCAAGCTTGAAGACTGCAAGATCAAGTGCCATGACTCACAGAACCAAACCAACTCAATTCAATCCGGTCAGTTCCATGCATAAACAACTTTTAGAATCCAGCAAGTCTCTGCTGTCTCAAGAACATCGCTGTGGTTCTTTCAATGACAGAGACCAGATAATCACACATAGGTATCATACCTATCGTACAGTACCCACCTTATCCACACTGTCCCCTGGCCAACAGCTTCAAACCTCCCTGAGCCCGACCGGCGACCACCGACCCGAAGCAAATATCTCCGCGACACAAAGTCTGGTCAAAATGCCATCTACTGCGGCTCCAGTATTCCGGTTTCATACTTTCATCGTCACACCACAAGTTTTTTATCACACGACTCTGTCGTTCGCTTTCGTCAACATTCGGCCTCTCCTCCCAGGCCATGTCCTCGTCTCACCCATACGCCCCGTCGCGCGCCTTTCAGAGCTAACCGATGTCGAGGCCGCCGATCTCTTCGTCACTGTCAAACGCGTTGGGCGGATGCTGGAACGAGTCTACAAGGCCTCTGCTCTGACGATTCCACTTCAAGATGGCTTTGATGCCGGCCAGAGCGTTCCCCACGTCCACATCCACCTTCTGCCTCGGCAGCCCTCGGACCTCGACCACGAGGGCGGTCCCGATGCTGTCTATGACAGATTGGAGAGCGAACACGGCGACATCGGGAAACTCATGTCTATGCGTCAACGCCCACGCCAGCCCAAGGTTGACGAAGAGTCCATACCCTTGAGAACGGCCGAGGAAATGGCTGCTGAGGCCGACATGCTCCGCGCAGAGATGGCGAAGGATAAGAGCCCGCAATGGGTTCCGGTGCCGCCTCTTCAAGATAGAACTTCAGATTAGCATCCATGATCTTAC